GTACAGTAAGTCCAAGCAGTACTGAATTGATCTCTGGTTGCTAATGGATTAATGAGATCTGGGATATGTCAGATGATATCTTTTCTGTTATCCTATACTAGAAAAAATGGATGGAAATTTTTTATTCCCAACATGCAATTTTGTGTACATACTGTAATTATCAGCTTTTTAATTAGTTTGAGCTAAATTGAGGCATTTAGCCATCAACCTGAATAGAAGTTAGCGTGAAGCTCATGTCGATGCACTCCTTCTCCAAGTAGTACATTGAGCAGGAAGGATTTACTGTTCATGCCTGACGCATCCGGTAAACCTGCTGTTCCACCCCCCAACTAGTGTAACCAGACCTCTCTCTGGTTAGGACTGTGACCCTGGCTTCTCTCCACCATCTTTGGAGGTGCTATGCTTGCACAGGGAGGAAGCAGTCACTGTGCTTTCCCAGATGGAGGAAATCTAACAGTGACAAGCACTTGTGCCAGGTGTCAAAGAGGTTCCTCCCACACATCATGGGAATGTAGTAATTTTACAAAATATTTATAATCTGAGTTATAATATTCTAATATTTTTCATTCATATCAGAGTAGAAAAGAACTTTGGTCATCTAGTGAATTCTCCTGCATTGCTGATGTTGTTAGAGACATACTTTGCAAACATTTACTACCAGGCATAGTACATACAAGGATGATTAGTCCTACTGCTGTTTGTCTCAGTAGCAAGCATGTGCTAGATCAGATACTTCATTCATAAATGAAACAAATGTATAACATTTCAGTGAAGAAACAAATCAAATAGTCTTCAAAGTGGAATTGATTTCTTGGAACAGTTTCTGATTTTTAAAATAAATTCTGTGATATTCTGTGTTAATGGTTTGACCATAACACTACAGTTTATAACACAGTTGGGTTTGAAAGACATCAAGATCTGAAGTATGAAGCTAGATCCAAATTCCATACACTCCCTATTACAGGCCATATCACAACACTGGGGCTGAAAACTCATATACCCAGGTACAGGAAATCTGAATCTGAAGTTTTATAAGTTTCAAGGTGTTTGGATTCAGCCAACATAGAGAAAGAGGATTGCTGGTCATATCTAAAATTTTGGCGTGGGTCCATTCCTGGCTTACAGCAAAGCTAGTCTACATGTTTTAGGCCATACTGAGGAATACAGTGGTAGTTATTTTGTTGCTTTATATAAGGAAGTGTAGTTCTTTTCAAACAAAATGTATGACAATTCTGTAGATAAATGAACAAATATCTATTGGTGTTAGATCTTTTAGAAAAAGATAATTCCCATATGACTATATGTTTGGTAGCCTAGTCCTTTCTATGAACGAATTGTAAATCCTTTGTGTGAATATATGAGAAAGTAACGGAAATCAGTCTTTCTGAAGCTAATTGGACATACACGATTTTAATTAAAGCCTACTGTATGAATATGATACTCTCAATACAGTGTAACAATTACCATGGAATGCTATAATCTCCTAATTTTTATGATTCTGAAACCTGTTTTTGTGCTGATACTCCAAAACTCAGAAGTGTTTGGTATCCAACAGTCAGTATTCACAATTTGATAATGCATTTAAACTGGGGTTATCATGTTATTGTCTAAATCATAATATTTGTATGTTAACTAGTAAAATTAACTAGACTAAGAGACCAGTCGCTTCCTAAGTCAGCTAAATGACAATGGCTGTAAGGAAGATGAATCTGTGACCCCATAGTCTGGAGCAACATAGGGATTAGCTTTTTTGCTGGCCTGAGAACAGGGAAGCCAAGTGGAGATCCGCCCCCCTACAACAGTTTCCAACTATCAAGAGAATTTCATCTAGAGAAGGGTCAGAGGAAGGTGGTGGGAGAGAAGCTGTAGCAAGTTGTGAAGGGCTGAGATGGAAAATGGCAATGGGTTTGGTGGGTAGAGTGGGAAGCTAGTTGGAGAAACAGCTGGCACCAGTCCTGGCAGTGGATCCAGCCCTTTGGTGTCTTTTTCACTAGCAACTTGAAACAAATAGCTGATGTGACAAATTATTCAAATTCTTTCAATAACTGAACCTAATTTTTGCTCACCCCTGCCTGAGCCCTCTTCTTTCTTATCATTTTCCTCACTCATCTTATTCTCTCTATTTCCTCACTCTTTCTTCCATTTCTCTCTCTTTTAATGTTTTTTCCCCTGTATGAATGATATGCTTGTGGAAGGAGCTGGATTGACTACCTTGGATATTGAAACCCTCTCTTTATCCAGAGTAGAGGTTTAAGAGGGCCAGCAACAGTGCAAATGCCTCCTCACTGCCCTACTAGTGGGTTCAATCCTGACCTGTAGGAAACATTGTTAGGCATGAGAGGGAAGTTCATTGACCATCTGCTCTTTATCCATCCCTCTGAGAGTGCCAAACAGGGTGCCCATTGTTTTGTTATGGAAATACCTGTCCTCTAACAGCTGGATTATGCATCAAACTTGTTTCACGTATAGTCACCCAAACAGTCATCATCTGGTAACAATTTCTGTCATTGTAGCTTTGGGTTGTATTTGAGTCAGAATTCAAGAGGTGAAAGAGTGTATATCCCAATATTGAACCATATTATCCACACACAATATATATTAAGGGGCTTGTAACTGGGCAGGCTCCATCCCCATCCTCTGATACCCTAGAAACCTCTCAAACTCTGTCAATAGGTGTCAACTTCATGTGAGTTTATTTACATCCTGCCACCATCCCCAATGCAGTCTCAGGCAACAAAGTATTTATGGTGCTTCCCCACAGGAAAAGCCATGCCTTCCTGGAGATCTCAGGGCATACTGGGCTCAGCTAGCCCTGGTCCTCCCCCTCAATTCCTTCCTGTATATCCTTTTGTACTAGTAAGCTTCTGGTTAATTGGTGCATCACCCCTCTCAGCCTGATTGGGGATTTTCAGCTAATTAGCTAATCAGCCTTCTTCAGGGGGTCTGATTGGTGCCTAAGTGGTCAGAGTGCTGACTTACCTTTTAGTTCCCAGCACTCTGTCACGGGGCTTTAATATTTAAAGGGCTGAATTGTGGCTTTGTGACTGTTCTGAGTAATGGGTGACACATACTTGTGCTGCCCCACGAGCAGAACAGGAATGAGCACTTTGCCTGGTGCAGATTGCCTTCCCCTCTATGCTGGTTGTCGCACTGGGGAGCAGAGTCAAATCTCTCTCCTTATTCCTTACCTACCTGAGGAGAGGTAAATAGCAGCTCTGTGGAGACTACATGACCCACGATGCAGGCAATCAGTGGAGGGAAGTAAAAAAAATGTCTTACAATCCCTTATTCCCCTATCCTGGTATGGAGGGCAAGTTACTGACTTACCCAATGTGTTTGAAATATAGCCATAAAACTCCCATTAACTTTAATAAGAGCTGTTTGATTAAAGTCTGAAAATTCAGGGGTGAGCCTGTTGAGAGGAAGATAATAGGATTATTTTCTCCATGTTCAACCCCACAGAATGCTAGTTTAAAACAATCAAACAAAACCCACTTTGCTTGGCACTGATTTACTAGAAAATACAAAATCTACAGCCTGTGTACCACATAGATAAAGGTATGTGTTCCACAGCTGATCCATCTAGAGTGCTGGCTACCAGTCAATTAAGTTACTTAGAGAGATCCATTATAGAATGATACTAGGCCATAGTGCAATTAAAGAGCAATGACTTTCTTCACAGTATCTCCTAATCCAGTTGTATGTCTATATATCAGAAAGGTAGCAGTGTTAGTCTGAATCTGTAAAAAGCAACAGAGGATCCTGTGGCACCTTTAAGACTAACAGAAGTATTGGGAGCATAAGCTTTTGTGGGTAAGAACCTCACTTCTTCAGATGCAAGTAATGGAAATTTCCAGAGGCAGGTATAAATCAGTCTGGAGATAACGAGGTTAGTTCAATCAGGGAGGGTGAGGTGGTCTGCTCGCAGTTGAGGTGTGAACACCAAGGGAGGAGAAACTGCTTCTGTAGTTGGATAGCCATTCACAGTCTTTGTTTAATCCTGATCTGATGGTGTCAAATTTGCAAATGAACTGGAACTCATCAGTTTCTCTTTGGAGTCTGGTCCTGAAGTTTTTTTGCTGTAAAATGGTTACCTTTACATCTGCTATTGTGTGGCCAGGGAGGTTGAAGTGTTCTCCTACAGGTTTTTGTATATTGCCATTCCTGATATCTGACTTGTATCCAGACTCCAAAGAGAAACTGCTGAGCTCCAGTTCATTTGCAAATTATTAATTTATTACCTGCTGGTTTAAAGATACAATTTATTTACTACGCAATTAAGTTACACTTTATTCTGGTGTCAAGAATGATCACTGTGGACAGAGTGAGGATCAGAAGAATGATTACAGCAAATAACTGTTCCTAAGAGAAATATTTTTAAACAAATTCTTAGCAATAAAGCCAAGCAGCAGGTGACCAAATATAGATATTGTTAACTGCTGTGAGGAGGTGGGAGATCCTTTCCTTCATATTGCATCACTGTAGCTCCCACATAACATTTCTTATTTTTCACATAAGTCCAAATCAAAAGACGCTGCCACTGTGTCAAATTGTACATGCGGTTAAACATTGCTAGTACTGACACCATAGTTGGCATAGAGGAGGACATTTTACTATGTTTTTTTCCATCCACAATGTCATCACAATCTTTATATACCTCCTTCTTCAAACTGATGATGATGAACCATCAGTGGTTCCTGTGCTTGGGAAAATCAATGCCCTTATTTCTTTCTTTTTAACGTACCCAATTTACTTTATCTAGACATTTAATTGTGCTCAGCTCTGTGCCTTACAAATTATAAAAGTAAGTAAACTCAACATTATATATTTCTGGGTTTGTTTGTTTTTTAATTAATTTTGGCAGGGCCAAATCAAAGACTGGGATTTATATTTAGAGGTGAAGGGGATGAGCTGTAAAGACATGCTTACTGTTGTTCTCTTGCATCATTACCCTTCAGTTTTCTGCTGTTCAAAGCTGCCTAAACAGTATAGTTTGCTTA